GTTTTATCGTGTCTTAAACCAGTGCATCTCTCTAAGTGGTTATTTTTCCGACAAATTTATACCTTCCTGTTCTAATTAACCCTTTGATATTATAACATATTCTGAGGAAAATGAAATGGAAATTTCTGTCGTACTTAGAAAAAATGTTTGCATAGCTAACTTAATTGGAGATATAGCTATAGTTACGACGATAATATTAAAATAAATATTATATAATAATGTGTGAGTGTGTGTACTTAATTGAACTTGCTAGTTATACGGCCCAGTGTTGGACCTCAGTGAATATGGTAATTGAACTTTGGATTGCGTAAAAGATGAGGAATTTCTTAATCAGTTGAGCAACAATCAGTTAATTAATAAATTCATAGATAAAAGTTCCTGGACACAACGATACTGTATTATTCGTCTTGTTAGACGTTGAGAATGCGTTCATTAGGCCTGACAATATTACTTTATGTGACTAATTTACAAGAATTCTTAATGATAAGTGGGACGAAAGTGCAGATGAGACAGCGTTTGCACTGCCGCGGTGGATGATAAGTTGACCCCGATCCTTTCGGGGTGGGGGTCGTCTCTTGGGATACCCACACCACGGCCCTGCGCAATATGCGACACTAGTGATGGATGGTCCATCCGGGAAGTTACGAGACTCGCACTACTGTCTGTGCCATGTCGACATTGCTTGTAATCAACGTGATAGTAGCCGAAGCGATTAACTGACATGATTGATTGGAGGAAATAATTAGGAATTGAATGGAAACAGAAAGACTGATTGCACCCAAATGGTCACACTTCTGATTTGCACTTCAGAAGTACCCGGTTTAAGTCTCTGCTGGTAACTTGTTACCGAGAGGGGTTTAATAGAAGGGTCTGTAAATTCCACAGCGCAGACCACATTGGAGAAATAGAAGTACATTTCAGTACTCACAGCTTCCAAATGCTTCCTTTGTGATTCTTCATCCCGCTGTGTTCATTTATTGTTCATACAAATTTCTTATCATGAATGAATTGAAACTAGCCACACGTCACGTATGACACCGCGCAGAGATAAATTATTTTTCGTTTTTTTTGTTAATTATTCTCCGTATCGAGAAACATTTCAAGAAAAGGTTTAGACCTTGATGGAATAAATATTTTATTTTGTGCGGAAGTATTTTCGTATAACGATCCTTTATTAGAAAGTCGCTGAACTCTTATTTGAGGTCTTTTGAAGTAAGGGTTAAGTCTGTTTTCGATTAAAAATAAATTGTGCGATAATATCGTATGTAAACCTACGATACGAAATGTAGTCGAAATCCATTCTAATTTCGGGGATGAAACTGAGGAACGACGCAACCAGATTTCTCACCATGCATTAATTTTATACAGTTCGTGTAAATGACGCACAATAGCACGAACCTGCTTTTAATTTGTCTTTGCTATTGAAGTTAAGTGGATAGTCAGGTTTTTGTCATTATCAGTGAATTGTGGCAGTTAATAAATAAAACTTTGCATTGTGGATAACATAATGGAAATATGTTGGAAGTTCTGTTGTATTTTATGGTAGCTTCAGTACAGACATTTAGTATGTATACTCCCCCTTTCCCCTGTCCGAAGCTGAATGTGTGTAGTATTGGGGTAATTTCAGTAACCTGTTGCTAATCAGCTCTTTGTCATGGAACATTATGCATTCACATGCTTTGTCGATGTGTTGAATTTTGCTAGTGTGGAGTATTCATAGGAAAACGTACGTAAAATAAAGTGCCTTATGTCGTTCATTTTTCAGTTATCAGAAAGCTGCTGGCATACGAGGTCTGAAGAAATTAAGTAATCACACTGATTTTGTGACGCATATAAATACTAAACTGCAGCGATTATTTTGATCTTTAAAGTACACAGATTTTATTTTATATACATATTCAACAGCATCTGAATAAAAAAATCTGGAAACTTTGTTGGAAATAATTTTCCGAATGTTCTTTCAGCTTCGTTTTCACATTGTTCTGGGTGTCTTTAAGTGATTCAAAATTGAATTCTTTAAACTAGAGTTTTGGTTTCATGAAATAAAATAATAAATAAAATAAAAATAAAATAATTATGCCAAACATGGAGCGTATGTTGATTGTACCGAAGATAATATTAACAATGAGTAATTAAATTCTGGGTAACAAATTTCAATCATTTAGGATCATCAGAGCCTGAGCTCGTAACTCGGCCGAGATCGTTACCAGATACCTTCTGAATACAAGTCTAGAGCCTCACCGAATCTGTACGTTCCTGCTAGTTCTGCTTGTAATAGTTGGATCTGGTTGGTAATTTAGAAACGTTGTAGATGGTCGTATATTTCAGTCACATTTAGCTTTATTAGCGTCAGTCGGTTTGTTTTGTTGTGTTAATGAGGTTATATAGATTTGATCGTTTCTGCTCCTTTAATCTGTTTCAGAATGTGACACAATAACTCTGGCGTGTCAGATATGTACTCTTCATTTATCTAAGAATCTAAGGGCTGTAAAATGTGTTTTACTCATTTTCGGGCTCGTATCTCCCAGTTCAGGATCATTTATGAGATTAATTGTTTGTCTCTGCAGTGCCTGAGAGCTCAAGTGGAACGTCTAATGTCGAGTATTAACATCCAGTGATTAAAATGAAGTTAATGAGTGTGGTGAGATAGCCATTTTGAGCATAAGAGTAGCAGAAAAAAATTGTAAATTTTTTAATATGGTGAATATATCCTACCATTAACTCTTCGAAGCGTGAAGCTCATTTAAACATTTACAAATTCAGTTCCTATCTGAAAGGAAACACAGCTCGTCTCCTTTACAGAGATCAGTTGATTAATACTTTTAAGGAAAATGATTGCTGTTGTTGTGGTACTCTGAATAAAACTCAGTCAAGTTAAAAATTAATTTACT